TGAGAACTCACCTTGTCACCTGCATTCGGGTTTTTATCGGGGTGGTACTCTTTTGCTAATTTCCGGTATGCCTGAAAGTAAAAATCACAAATACATTACTAATTAATGACATTTAATAAGACCAGCAGTACTATTACTTATAATCAGAGTTAAGTTTGAAACTTTGATGTTCAGTCTGACAAATATTAATTTTCCACAGATTGACACTGAAAGAGGGACTGGCACCATAGAAACAGTAATATCACAGAGACTTGAAGATGAGCTCTTTTGAGTTAGCTAAGTTAATAAGTAACCACCTAGCAATGACCACATTCACCCTAGCAACCACCCACAACACCCTTGCATGTCAGTTCTAATGTTTTCATTTATTATTAATGTGCAGTTATTTAAAAAAGTACTTTTAATTACATAGTTAAATAAAAATGTACAAATACATTTGTTTTTAAAGTCGGTAAACTAATTAATAAGAAAATGTAGCTTGAGAATTGTTTGGGAATTTTGATTCCCAGAATCTGAATTGGATCAAAGATTCCCATGCCTAGTTGGCAATACATTTTTGTATTTTTTTCATAAAATGTAAAAAAATAAAATAAAATCTGGGAATTTGACAAAAAACATGGATATTTTTAAACATTGTTTTTTGGTTAAAATGTATGTATTGTACACTGTGAAAAATATTTTTTGAAGTTGTCAATTAAAGACTATTGGAGTACATTTACATAACTATAAAAAAAAAATACTACCTCATTTTTTCAACTTCAAAATTTCACATTTAATTCAATTTGTTACTTGACGTTTCATTGTAACTGTTTGTGAAATTACTAGTAATTTCAAGAGTGAAAATTATTTGTGCACCATTTTTTTTCTATAAAAGTGTGTATTTTTATGCAATTGAAATCATTTGATTATTTAAATAGTCTTGCATTTTGGCAAATTAATTTTTGATTCAAAATTATTTAGTTGTATATTAGTATTGGTAATGTATTAGTTAAAAAGCACTATAACATGACACACTGCTTAAAATGTCGTCAACAACCTTTACAATTTTAACAGTTCCTAATCTGTGACTACACTGCCCAATTGTGAGTACTGAGGCAAAGACCCCAATTTCCCCAACATCTGACTGATCAAAGAAAGCTGATTTCAGAGCTCATGCTTGAAGCAAACCCTAGCAGGCTATTTTTCACTAAGCACATTACATGGATTGTGCCTTTTCTCGGACCTAGTGGCTTTGAATTCACATTGCCAGTTCTTTCATTGTGTGGTAACTCCACATATCCCACATTATTTTGGGTCTGCCTGTGCTTTCTGAAACCCTTTGTATGCACACAATCAAACAGCAACAACAACAACTTGGAGGCCAGAGCCTGATCCCCTTCTAACAAAGGACTGAACACAAATACCAGGTTTCACATCGAGGAAATACCTAAAACAAGACACTGGCATTGCATTAACCATATCGGACTCATTGCATATCAGATAAAAGCTGAGGTTTAGCACAGCAGCTGGTAAGCTAAGCATCTGCTTCCACTGTCATGCTCTTGTGCAAGAAGCACCTTCAGCTGTCTGCAGCACCTCGCTGATGCTCTCAGCCTCACGACAGCACAGCGACACAAATTGTAAACAAACAACGTATTTGACTATGTGTCTTTCAAATCCTTCCCCAAATCATTCCCAGAGCCGACGAAAGGCCACACTGGAGGATCCCAGCAGCATGCAACCTGCTAAACACACCAGTTTCTCCCCCAACATGCAGCATCCCACGTCTCGCGCGTCTCTTTGGCTTCGTTACGCTACGAAGCGCGAGGCGGAAAGGACTGAGGCGGAAAAAAAACCTTTTTAAGCTCGTTTTCGGTGGCTGACGGAGATACTCCGAGGATGTCGTAGAGTTTAGTGTCTGCGACGTTCGCCATGTCTCCAGACCGGTGCAGCAGCTGCGCAGAGAGAGAGAGAGAGGGGGGTAAGCCGGCTGCGCGCGCCGCTTGCTGTCCTGCGCCACAGTGTGATTGATAAACAATCGTGTCTTTTTTGGATACGAAATAAGTGTTAATATCGTTATATCTTTGATTTATTTGTTTTTTGTGTGTGTGTCATATGACACCTCGGCCTAAAACCTCAAATAAAGTTTTGATTACACATCATGCTGTAGTCTCAGAGGACTTGACTGGATTTTAATTTCAATTCTTTTTGTTTACACAGATAAAAAAATGATTTTGTGGTGAAGTAAATACTACAGAAAAACAAATGTAATTTCTACATTAAATAATTTAGTTAAGGCAAGAATTTAAAAAAGAAAATTCAATATTAGGCCTATAAGCTTGTAGAATGTGAAGTTTGAACTCATAAGTATATTTTACTTGGAATTGTTAGTTATTTTTACAAAGATTAAGTAAATATCAAAGTCATGATCCCGTTGTTCCCATCTGCACTTGGGCATGAATAATTAATATGTAATTTGCTGTTTTGTGACATCTGGAGTTCATTTTCTACTCAAAATGACCCATTCATACTCAAACACTATTCACTGATTGTTACAGTCATTGTGTATCATGTGCCAAATACTGAGGTCTCTACATGTGTTCATTCAGTTAATATAACTATTGAGTAAACATATCACCTTAAAAAGCATAATGAGCTGTCTACTTTCTTACATGCATGATTGTAAGTGAACCACATGCTTTATTGGCATTTTCCAGTGCAATGTTGTTTGGGTAAAGTTTACAAACCGACACAGAGTAAAATGTACATAGGCTACTTGAGTATTGCAGGATAAACTTTAAATAATTAAGTAGAAATTACTCATCAAACTTTAACTGGCCACGTTAAATTTATTTATTTCCCTTGCTATTTTTACATAACTTAGTTAAGTGATTTTACTTAAATCCATACTTTAACAAAAGTACTTAAAAAATATGTGCGCAAAATAAAAAATTAAGTACATTTTACTTGTTGTTTTTTCCCCAGTGTAGTTTATTTGTTTACAGGGGCAACGTATATTAATAAACATGCTTGTAAATGTGCCAGAATTAGCCAAAGAGGCTATTTTTCATCTGTAGACCCTTGACAGAATGTTAAAAAGTCACCCTAAAAACAAGACAGAGCATCTTGGACACATATTACAACCAACAAAGAAGAAGAGATCAAAAAGTAGAAAGCTAAAAAAAAAATACAAATACATGATTGCACATAAAAATCAAACTAAAACATAATAATAAGTTCTGATAACTGTTGTTATGTTTAAATGTCTACTTTTCATTTTAAAAAATCATTAAAAGAAAATAATATTTTGATTGTTTTTTATGTATATATATTTAAAATGATTTTTTAATTAAATGTTTATTTTGTGTTTACATGCATTTATTGGCATCCATGAAAAAAAAGGATGACGAGTAAACTGAATAAAGGTTAAACTTTCAAAAACAAGTTACAGTAACTGCATATTGATATTCATAACAGTTGTGACTATATTCTTACAAAAATACAATTTTATATTTGATGTTTTTGTTTGTATATTTTTCTTAAAATAAGAAATTATAATATATTTTTATACAACATATTTAACATATATAATGTTAATACAACATTATAATGTTAATAAATATTGGTGTAATAAATAGTGGAGGATATATTAATTTTATATTGTATAATAAGGAATGATATGCAGCGCTTCCGTTTTCCATAAATCTAATAAATCGAATTGATCGTCCAGGCGTGAACAGTGGGTCAAGGATTGTGGTCTGGAGAATGAAGAAATCTGTCCCAACATGCCATTAAATGGGGTATCGGTATGGAATATTCCTGAACCCATTGTTGAAATGAGATTGTTGGAGGCCCGGGAAAAAGCAGAAGAAAGATATACTAATAGTTATGAAATCAATGTTTTTATGAGAGAAATTTTTTATTCTTTTATACAGATCTATACAGATGGATCTAAAGACCCAATCAAACAAAAAGTGGGCATAGGAGTGTACATTCCAAGATTTAAGACGAACATAAGTTTAAGGTTAAGTGACAAATTGTCCGTATATTCTACAGAATGAACTGCTATAATAGTAGGATTGCAGTGGGTAGAACAGATTAAGCCAAATAGGACTCCGACTGTAATTTGCTCAGATTCTTCATCAGCTCTTAAAAGTATATTGTCGACAAAAACTGATAGAGAAGACCTGCTAGTAGAAATGTATACATTACTGTACAGACTGAAAATAGAGGGTATAATCGTATACTTTTGTTGGGTACCGGCACATATTGGGATAGTAGGGAATGAAACAGCGGATAAGTTAGCAAAAGAAGCTTTAAAGAAAAACTTGGTGGATGTTAAGGTACCTCTGGGAAGGAATGAGATAAAATCAGTAATTAATAGGGAAATAATAAGAATATGGCAACAAAGATGGGAAAATAGCAGCACAGGTAGGTGGTATTATAATATTGTAAAATCAGTAGGGAAAAAAGAACAGTTTTATGGAAGACACCGAAAGGAAGAAGTAATGATTTCTAGATTAAGGATGGGTCACACAGGACTAAATTCAACACTTGCATTAATGGGGAAGCATGAAAATGGTATGTGTGATGAATGTGGTGTTTTTGAAACAGTAGAGCATGTGCTCTTTAAATGTAGTAAATATGAAGATCAGCGTAACAGTCTTTTTAGCAATATAAGGAACAGACCAGTGAGTGTCGTGGACCTTCTGGGAAAGGGTTTGAGTGATAGTCAGATGTTTAAGGTGGTTTTAACATTTTTAGAGCTCACAGGATTAGACCACAGGATTTAGTGTTTGAGGATGAGGATCATGATGCTTCTGCCCATCTCGGAGGTTGAGGAGCAGAGTGTGGAAGCTGGAGGAGCTGAACACGCAGCGCCAGCTGAAGTTTGGGCTCTGATCCTCTGGGGTGGGTGGGGCATTACAAATTTTTTTTTTTCCTTCAGTACAGATTCATCACCCATGTGCGCAAGATATACAGTAGGTGGCGGTAATGCTGCTAAGGAGTGAACGAATATTTTTCTGCTCACAGTTTAAAGCTCTGAAGGGGCCAGTGCTGAAGCAGGGCTGCGGATGCGGATCTATGGATGCAGGACGATGCATCGCCAATCAAACATCACATTTCCCCTCTGACAGCCTACAGAACAGCTCTGATCACAGATCGCTGTTTGCCTGACATCTCCGAGTGTTACTGGTAAGTTCACAGTAGTTTATTTGTTCATAGTAATGCTATTTATCGCCGTTTCAGTGCGTATATATTCTGGTGGATCGTCTCTTATGAACACAGCAGAACAGCGTTTATGACCTGCATATGGACTCACGTGACATATGAGCAATGATTAAATATACCATGATTATGTTAAACACAAATGTCTTTCACCTTGAAGTGTATGCTCATTTACAGTCTTCATTTACTCTGAGATCAGTACGTCGTAATATTGCCTTGACGTGCTATTTGGGCTCCGGAGTACGTTTACTTTTGTTTATGCCAACAAGTTTGATACGATTTGAAGGCTTTTGGCAGTGGAGGCGTTTATAATGCTTTGCCACATCCAGTAATCTGGCATGCAAATTCCCAGCGTTCTGATTGGTGTGTCGAGTCTCGCCTCTGCGTTCTGATTGGTGGATCACGGACAGTGACATTGAGCGAGGCCGATGTGTGTCTGTCTGACATTGATCTTGAACGAGGGGTTTGATTTCGACTCGTTATCATTAAAACGTTTCGTGTGTAATTTAGTGAAATATAACATGGGAATGTTATATAATGTACAGTCTTCAGATTGTCACCGAATGCCTGTATTTCTGTCACACACGTCAGTGTGAGGCGTGGACTATATGATTTGATCACACACATGTTGATCTCTGCAGCATCACCAAACGCACGTGATTTCAGTTCTTTAGTACGGTGTCCGGGAGGTGACATGGTCGGTTCACTTGTGGGAACGTGATATTATGTCGTGGCCTCGAGATGCTATGTTGAGGGAACGACATATTTTTCTCGTTGCCACGAGTTTAATGTGTAAACAAACCTGCGTGACCATAGCAACCCGGGATTATCAAAAATTGATAAAACATTTTTATTAACATTAAACATTTAATTTAATATTTGTATATTATTATTATTATTATATTAACTATATTTTTATATTTATTGTTATATATGCGTATTTCCACTTTCAATTTGTTTATCGCTTTACCTAACGTTTTGTATAATTATGCTAGCATTTGCTAGCTTACCATATATTTTGCAAATAAACGCCTGACAATTATGCCAATAAAGTTTTGACTTTATGATTGTATTTATGCCCAT